CTGCGTGAATGTGTCCAGAATTGCTCTTTCCTCTGCAAACAATGTGGGAATTCATTTGCCTGAACATCACGGGTTGGGGGTGGGTGGGGGGAGTTCAAAAGATGGCTCAGGAGGAATGACCCCTGTTTGCTAGGAAGGTTCCAGAGGGGCCGTGCAGGAGGCTGGGAACCCCAGGATGGTCAGGATTTATCCCTAGCCTTAGCAAAACTGTGGGATCCACACGTCTTCCCTGAGGACCATGTGTGCCACTTGTTTCGGTAGGAAGCCTCATTGTGCCTGACTTTCCCCGATGTGAAAACCGAGCCAACTCTTCTCTGTGCCGGGAGAGGCCTTCCCGCAAGGCTGGAGGCCCGTCTGTCTGCTAAAGCAGGTTTGCAGAATGGACATGCCATTATTTTTCCGGCCCAAGGACGAAGGCACGCCGTCCTTGTCCCCAGGTGATGCCGCCTGTCCTTTGGCTGGGCCGGCTGTCCTGCTGTGCTCTCCGTCGGCCCCCGTCCTGGGGAAAGGACTGGCTCAGTTTTCCTTTCCCATTTATTACTTTCAATAGCCACTTAAAGGAGCTGATAGGTGCCTGGAGCCCCGTCTGGCCAGGCCGCCACGCAGGGTCAGGCAGCTGCCAGATGTTCCTGCATTTAAACAGCTGCCGTAGCCTCATTTGTGTGTGTGTATGTGTGTGTATAAAATAATAAATCCCCCCCTTTCCCCTCCTCGTCTTTGACTTTAACCCCTTCCTGGTTGCTTCCTCTCCCGTCTTGTACTACAGAGGAGCTTAGCATGAGCATACTACCGTCTTGAATCTATTTACACCAGAAGGGAAACAGGCCTCGACTGTAGCTGGAGGGGGAATGAACTGGGACACGAAGGTGGCCGGAGGCAGTGCAGGGCTTCCGTATCTTCAGTGAAATTTTTTTTTTTGGGGGGGGATTTTTAATAGGCTGCTTCTCCCACCAATGCAGCATTAATAATTATTGCTGCCCTGGCCCGAATAGGCCAGGAAAGCCTGATTTTGTCAGATCTTGGAAGCTAAGCAGGGTCGACTCTGGCAAGTGGGTGGGAGACCTCCAAGGAATACCAGCAGTCGGGAGGTGGGGGCAGGCTTGATTCAGCCACCTCTCTGAATATCCTCCAGGCCCCCAGTAGGGGTCAGTCACCAGAGGTCGCCGTGACATCCAGGTGCAGCACATACTCAATGCACGCGCACACACACACATGCACATATGAAAAATACTCGCGAAAGAAATAATACTTAAGTGCTGTCGAGCCACCACCGTCTTATGGCAACCCCTCATGGAGTTTTCAGGGCCAGAGGTCGCTTGCCGTTGCCTTCCTCTGCACTACAGAGGAGCTTAGCATGAGCATACTAGTGTCTTGAGATGCAGGGATCTATTTACACCAGAAGGGAAACAGGCCTCGACTGTAGCTGGAGGGGGAATGAACTGGGGGCAGTGCAGAGCTTCTGTGTCTTCAGTGAATGTTTTTTTTAGGGGGGGGGATTTTTAATAGGCTGCTTCTCCCACCAATGCAGCATTAATAATTATGGCTGCCCTGACCCGAATAGCCCAGGCAAGCCTGATCTTGTATGTCAGATCTTGGAAGCTAAGCAGGGTCGACTCTGGCAAGTGGGTGGGAGACCTCCAAGGAATACCAGCAGTCGGGAGGTGGGGGCAGGCTTGATTCAGCCACCTCTCTGAATATCCTCCAGGCCCCCAGTAGGGGTCAGTCACCAGAGGTCGCCGTGACATCCAGGTGCAGCACATACTCAATGCACGCGCACACACACACATGCACATATGAAAAATACTCGCGAAAGAAATAATACTTAAGTGCTGTCGAGCCACCACCGTCTTATGGCAACCCCTCATGGAGTTTTCAGGGCCAGAGGTCGCTTGCCGTTGCCTTCCTCTGCATAGCAACCTTGGTCTTCCTTGGTGGTCACCCATCCAGATACTAACCATGGCCACAAGTCTGGGCTAAGGTGGGCTGTTTAGAGCGCAGCAATACAGTAAAGAGAACACAGATTCTGGAATTCTTCCTTCCTTTAAACTGTTTCGGAGCACGGGGGGCACTGCGGTTGCCTGCCTGAGGCCCAGATCTTGTTGTCATCTTATAAGTGTGTGTGCGTGAGAGCGCACATGGGGGGGGGGGAGATCCAGGGAGGAAGGGAGCCATCTTTATTTTATTTCTTTAATTTTACTTCATTTAGACCCTACCTATCCCCCCCAAACGGGGGACCCAAGGCAGCTTGAATCTTGAGTATTCCTGGAACAGAAAGTTGAGATAGCAAGATGGGTAGCTGCATTAGTCTGTCCGTAGCAGCAGAAAAGAGGCAGGAGTCCAGTCGCACCTTAAAGACTAATACAATTCGTGGCAGGGTAGGAGCTTACGTGAGTAAACTGAAGAAGTGAGCAGTGACTCACGAAAGCTCATCCCCTGCCACGGATTTTGTTAGTCTTTGAGATGACAAGTCTCATAAGTAGATGGATGAGGGGGACTGTTCCTCAGCAGCGTTCAATTAGCCAGGTTGTGTTTCGTCTTTCGTCGTGGTTTTCCCCCCCTCCCTTCTGTTCCTCAGCAGCGTTCAATTAGCCAGGTGTTTCGTTTTTCGTCGTGGTTTTCCCCCCTCCCTTTTCACACGCACGTCCCTTTGGTTAGTGCCCGTTGCCTGACTCACCCGTATTGTGCTTGTGACTTGACAGAAAAACAGTGTACAAACCCAGCCCTTCTCTGAATGGGAAACAAAACTGGGAACAGTGTCGGCTAACGGCTGCGGCAGCAGGGCCCAAAAAGATGTACGCCTCACATGGCTTCTTCGTATGTGCTCGTGAGGGAGAGACTGGGAGCCCAAGTCCTGCAGCTGAGATCCGCTTCCAACGCAGTGCCTCCCCTGCATAGAGGCTGACTGTGATTACACGCGAGGAAAGCTGTTTGCGTCTCCTAACCTCCCCCCGTGGACTGGAGGCTGCCTCTTGGTTTTCTCCTTGTAGTCTCCAGCGGCCGATAGGCAAGCCATGGCATGTGGACGGCTCGCTCCAGGTATCGGGCTACCTCACCGATACAGTTCTGGCGAGCTTTCGGGTGGTGCCCACTGTTGTGTGAAGCAGGCCTCGTCGAGTGGCTCTGACAGAACTTGTTCGTCCCACCCGTGAAAGTCCCAAGGTCATCCAGCGAACATTGAGGTGGACCTGGAACTGGGAGGCCAGTGAAAACCCTGCTTGGCTGTAGGCTGAGCCAAGTCACGGACGGTCACTTTTCCTTCAGTCTGTAAAACGGAGCTACTGATGCGTCATTCCTCAGGGTTCTTGTAAAGACCAAGATAAAGCTCTTGCACATCTTCACACCGTCTGCACACAATTCATAATTCTTATTTATTTAGCTATGTCTATCTCCACCTTTCTCCACCATGGGGGCCCAGAGTGGCTTACGACTTTGCTCTCTTTTCCTCCCATTTTTATCCTCACGACAACAACAACACTGCAAGGTAGGTTAGGGTGAAAGAGATTGACAGGAGCAAGGTCACCCTGCAGGCCTCCATGTTTTGAGTTTGGGTTTTCCCTGATCCTAATCTAATATTCTAACCATTATACCAGTTTGACGCAAATGTTTCATTGCCCGTGTGTATGCGCACCCGTGTCGGGAGGGCAGCAGTGTTTTCTGCCTCTGTTTGCTCAGTTCCGTGCATTGCCATATTCACAGATCGAACCCCAGGGTTCTGGTTTCCATCCTACTGTTCTGCAGTGGTTTTGTCCTAATCAGCTGCCTTCCCTTTTCAAAAGGGCGAGTAGATGTGCCTTGGAGACAGCATTGCGAACGGCTTGAAGGTTGTGCTTGTAATCCGAAGGTCAGTGACCCAAATAGCCTCCCACACCCATTCGTTTGATTAGCAAGAGTCGGGCAGATAGATGGGCCATCCGCTGCCTAATTGAAAAGCGTCTGCTATGGATTCCTTTTCTTCAGTCCCTTTTGCTTCGGACCTGTTTGTCCCCTGTCCATCCAGTAGGGGGAGCTCTTGATTTCCATTCTTTTTCTGTCTCCATTCCGGCCCCACTTTTCGCTCAAGAACTTTTTGCCTTTGGAGAAGAGGGCCGCAGAGTGCCCGGTTTTCTCTCAGAATGTGAATTCTGGAGAGTTTCAGCTTTTATTCCTTGTATATATTTTTATAATAATGCTTTATTTTAACACACCCCTCTCCCATCCCAAGCTTCTAGCACTCGTGAGAGTTGAGACGTAGTTTAAAAATTTCTTGTCATTTCCCGTCTGCTGTGGCTATTTTCTCATCCCTTTCTATAAATAAATAAATAAATTGAATGGTCTCCACTGGTGTTTCTCTGCATTGATAACTTAATTCACCTAATATGTAAAATCATTCACAGTGCAATTCTAAGCAGAGTTATTGAAGTCAGTGAGGCCATAACTCTGCGTAGGATTGCACTTCTAAGGTTGCCAGCAGATCTGGAGAAAAATGTCCTGTCCCTTTAATAGAGTCTTAATGCGGTGGCTCAAGTGGTTAAGACGCTGAGCTGCAGGCTGTGGAAGGTCAGTAGTTCAGCAGTTCGAGACCCGGGTGCCGCATGACGGAGTGAGCTCCCGTCTCTAGTTCCAGCTCCTGCCAACCTAGCAGTTCGAAAGCAAGAAATTGCAAGTAGATAAATAGGTACCACTTCAGTGGGAAGGTAACAGCGTTCTGTGCGCCTTGGTGTTTAGTCATGCCAGCCACATGACCACGGAAAGGTCTTCGGACAGCGCTGGCTCTTCGGCTTTGAAACGGAGATGAGCACCGCAACCCTAGAGTCGGATTCGACTGGCTTTCGAGCAAGGGAACCTTTACCTTTACTAATGTGTGGAAATGCACAGTTACAAAGTTTTTTGTGGTATGAAGCTAAAGGAAATCACCTGGTTAATAACAGATTATTAAGCTTTTTAAAAAAAAAAATTGACATTTTTCTCCAGGCCTGTTGGCAACCCTAAATAACACTAATGGCTTATAGCAATGGCTGCCCTGCCCTCCTTTCCTGAATGGGGTCTGAGGAGCAAAAAGAGTGTCCAGTCTGCCCCATGTATGTTCATTTATACCTCGCCTTTTTCCCCCGTGGGGGCTCAAATCAGCATCATTCTCCTCTCCTCCATTTATCCTCACAGGCTCACAACAACCCTGTGAGGTAGGTTAGGCTGAGGGTGTGATCAGCCCAAGGTTACCCAGCAAGCTTCCATGGCAGAGTGGGGATTCGAACCTGGAGTCTCTCAGACCCTTGCCTGACACTCTGACCGCTACCCGCTGTTGCCTTGGAGAAACTCTGCAGTGGTAGTGTGACTTCAGTCTTGTGTGCGCTACTTTACTTTTTTCACCTGCCCCGTCATGTCCACC